TGAACCACAGTGTTAGCCATAGTAATTCCATTCTCATAATAAACTGTGAAACATGAGACTGCAGAAGGAGCAGTGGCCTTTCAAATTTCCAGGGATATTGCTAACTGTGATCCTTTTCCAAGACTATGAGGGTTTGATAGCATGAAATGGTGTTCTGCATCTTAGTCTATGTTCAGTGGGAGGACTCTGCATTTCAGTCTGTCTTCATGAGTGGGGGGGGGCTCTGCATGTCAGTATCTAATACTGTGTGTGAGACAGACAGAGAGAGAGAGAGAGAGAGAGAGAGAGAGAGAGAGAGAGAGAGAGAGAGAGAGAGAGAGAGAGAGAGAGAGAGAGAGAGAGAGAGAGAGAGAGAGAGAAGAGATCTGTATTTTGGTTGTATTGCTGATTAAGGGAGAAAAGAAGGAATTTGACTTGGACATGTTAATAAATGGTATTTGTAGTGCTTTTGGAAACCTCTTGCTTGTTGTTATTTCATGCTGTCCTCATATTTTCTTTCCTCCTCCTCTTCCTCCTTTTTTGAGACAAGGTCTCAAGTAGCTCAGGGTGGCTTCAAACTTTCTAAGTAGTTGAAGAGTGGCCTTGAACTCAGTCCTCCTACCTTCACCTCCCAAGTTCTGGAAATACAGGCATGTACCAACATGCCTGGTTTATAGAGTGCTAAGGATTGAACCCAGGGCTTTACACATATTAGACAAGCACTCTATCAACTGAGCTGTTTACTTAGCCCTTTAGCTCCATTTCATTGATCTTCATAGATGGTTCATTGTGAAGATAGGTGCTATGTGGTCTTTTGTCTGTCCTAAAAATACCTATTATTACTCTGTGCGTGCGTGTGTGTGTGTGTGTTCATGATGTGGGGGCCTGCATGTCATGCTGTGCATGTGGAGGTAAAAGGATAACTCTGTGGAATCAGTTCTTTCTGCCTTTATGTGATATTCAGGTCACCAGGCTTGTGTGGTAAGCACCTTTATCTACTGAACCATCTTGTGTGTGTGTGTGTGTGTGTGTGTGTGTGTGTGTGTGTGTAGGGGGGGCACTTAAGATGGTGTTAGCACATAGAAGGGCTTTTTAATTGCTTCTTTTTAGGCGTTTAATTAACTAGATGAAGTACCATGACTAGCCCACCTGAGTAGACAGTAAGACCATTAAGATAGCATACTAAGGCAGTTCTTTATGCCTTACAGGATAGTGCTTTGTTTATTATACTGCAGTAATTAATGTTAACACAAAATATGTATGCCATGTGACATGTAGGAATTTGAGGTCATACCCAACCTGGACTACAGTGATGTTTAGAAAACGCTTCTTGGAAAGAGTGATATGTGAACTAAGTCTTGAAGATGAGTAGGTTCTGACAGATTTCCACATAGCCAAGGTCAGGGATTGCTTGGGGACTAGTTCTGTATGCCTGCCAGAATAAAGAGGGAAAGGGCTGGAAATCTGGGAAAAGTAAAAAGAGCTAATGGTGTAAACTGTAAAAACTTAAGAGATGGCCTTGTACACCAGTACTGAGATGCTTAGATATTTTATATCGGGGATTGGGTTCAACCATTTAATCAGATTTTTGGGTTCAGCTGGTCCCTCTGGTAACCTGTGGAGATGGGGTTTGTAAGTGATGTTCTGGCTCTGTCATGGGATCTGGGAGGTCGAGAGGACAGAGGAAGTTCAGGGGAGGAAGGAGAGCTGTGGCCTGTGCATGCCTAGCTTTTCTTGTGATCCACTCTTGAGATTGCTGAGTAATAACCAGCTGTGGCTTGCCCCATGAGTAGACATCACTGCAACTGTTGGGAGGTACACTGAGATTCCATATCTGCATCATGGAACTGTAATGTTGACAAATGGGATCTTCCCTATTAACAATATTCTTATGCCTGCAATCAGAGGAGCACTGTTTGCACATTCAAGCTTTGAATATAATTTGGAAGAGGATTGTGTGTATTGCTATGTTTGGTGCTTGGCGTTAAAAGATCAGTTTGAAACTCATAGATATTATTTGTACAGAGTGACTCTGGATGTTAATTCTGTGTCCTTTTCCCACTGGTCCCATGTCGGTACCCTTCCCACGGGGAGGGAGGGTGATGTGGCAGTGGTCTGGGTGGGGATGACAGGTATGTGGTTAAAGAAGTGGCAGTGGGTATGGGGGGCATGTTGTTGGTCTATGTTCTTTAAGGTAGTGATTAGCAATGTTGATCACCAATTGATCCTCTATGCATGTGGAGTTCTTCTCTGTGAGCCCCCAGTTAAACTGGCCCAGGTAGGTCTGAGCCCCAGCTGGAATGCACTACTTAAACTCAGTGCTGTCTTCCAGCGTGTGGTGGTTGACCATCTGCACCAGCACTGCCTCATCTTTCTTCCCTCATTCCATTTAAACTTCATAAGCAATATTAGAGAAAGATAAAATTATTAACCTCATTTTATAGAAGAGGAAACTGAGGCTCAAGGAAACTATATTGATTTATCTGGAATCACAGACCTTAAGTAACAGTTGAAACTTAAACCAAAGCCTGACTAAAACCAATGCTTTAAGAAAAAGTTTGACTGCAGTTTTATTTGGGTCAAAGCGGCTTTAATACAACATTTAGTAGGAAATCCAGATTGGGTTATTGCAAAGTAGTAACAAAGGCAGTTTACTGTAAATAGCTAAACTTTGTCCTGGATTGTCTTTGGGTGATCACTGCAGGTTTTGTAGCCCTTCCTGAATTCTTAGGGTGCTTGATTTGTGTATTGATGCATGGAAGAGCTTTGCTGTCTCTAAACATGAATGGTTTGAGGTCTAATGAGTTTGCCTCCTTCAGTAATCAGATCTGGTAAGTGCTTCCCTGGGCCACTGGCTTTTTGTCTAAGCATTTGGAGAGGCTCTGTCTGACTTTCAGCCATCTTGGAGGTTCTGTATAGTTCATTCTGGGGTAGAGCAGATGGAAAGTCATTAGTGCTTCTCTCCTCCAGCAAATAGATGTTCCCTCAAACCTGGCTCTGGGCGGCATCCAGACAGTAAGCTTCTTGCTCCTGGTGGACAGTACGGCACAGGGCTGGGCAACCCCTCTAAATTAAACTCCATCCTTTGCTTTGGTTGAGCGAGGTCACCGTTGAAAGCACTCACTGCCAGCTCACTTTACCTGGCAGTGGTTCAACTCTTTGACAGGCCTACCTCTGATTTAAACAAATTTGAGAAATATGTAAAGTTTTGGAAGCAGTTTTGCACTGATTTGATAAAAGAAACCACAAAACACTGCAGCGCAGGTGTTGAGTCGGCTTGAAAGCTGATTGAGGGAAGCAGATGGCTTTAGTCAGTGGCATCCAGCCAAAAGAGCAGGTGCTGGTCATGTGACCGCTGGTTACCAGGGTAATCTGATTGCTCTTGGCGTGCAGATGAAAGGAAAGGGGCCCAGTGTTCAGCTGTAGTATTGTATAATTTGTGGCAGTTAGAGCGGAAATAAATGCTGGAAATGGAGCCTCATAGTAGGGGAGACTTCTGTCCGTGTGTAGCGTAAACACCAGGACAGTCGCATCAGGAACTGTTGTATGGATTTTTTTAATTTAAAAAATATTATGCTGTCTGAGGACCTTTGGTGATTTTAACGACACTGTTCTTTTAAAAAAAAAAAAAAAGAAGTGAAATTAATTCCTGAAACTTAACAGCGATTTGCTTTTATCTTGAATTGTGTTGTTTTCTGATGTGGCTGTTTACTATGCTAAAATGTTCATGAAATAAAATAAGAATAAACTCAAGTATACAAAATAGTTTAAGATGACCAAAGACCTTATTAGTTGGGAAATACATTGTAGGTGTGTGTTGGATACACTATCGGCATACTTTTGAGATATTTAATGTGACAGATGCTTTATTCAAATAGAAATATTAGATACTGTGGCCTCCTCTCTTTGTAGTAGCTCAGGTTACAAACATGCTGTTTAATGCATTCTGTCAGTACACTTTCATGAGAATCTACAAAATTTAATATATTTACAGTTTTGAAATCCTATCTTTTGTTTATGAAATTTGAGGCTCCCTAAAAATGGTAAAAAATTCTTTTACTGATGTTGGATTATTTTCCATATTGTCTAACAAATGATAATTGACGTCAAAAAAAATCTTGGAGACAGATCTTAAATTTAAGAAAGCGCTGTGTCCAATTTAACAGAATGTTGAGGAAAGGCTTTAGAGATAGAAACCTAGAATTTTATTTTTCTTTTGTTTTAACGTAACAAATACTATTGATGCTTGTCAGTAACATTTTGGAAAGTGAGCTTCAATTTTGGGATCACTTTATTTTCTGTATTGCAGAGACCTAGCTTTTGGTAAAAATGAAATTTATAGGGCTGGTGATTTCCTTGGTGGTAGATCACTTGCCTAGCATGTGAAGGGCCCTGGGTGCAGTTGCTAGTACTGGGTTGAAAATAAAGGTCATTGTGATTATCTTAAATGTCTAGCACCAGAAGAAAACTTACTTTAGAAGACAATATTAAGTAAAATTATGGGTTTCTGGGAAATGATTTTTTTATTAAAAGTTGTAAATTGGACACTTTTATTAAATACTTGTGAGATATAAGAAAAATCTGTTACTGGTCAACAGAGGACTTCAGTAGGAGTATGTGAAACTATACAAGAGACACCAGGATGTGCTCATTGATGGTTAAAGAAAGAGGCTGTTTTATGCCTTGATTTGGTAGCAAAACCACACCATAGTCTGAGTTTTTTATTATGTCTTGGTATATTGGCAGGGATTATGAATAAATGGACAGATGTGGTTTGTATAGTATTAAGAGTTTGGGGTACAATTTTATTTTATAGGTCAGAAATCTGCTGAAGGTCATCAATATGAGTCTTGCTGTAAAAACTTAATTAGGAGTACCATTTAATGAAAAATGCCCACCACACATAGACCTAGCCATGGCCCTCAGTGCGTTAGGGATACTAATGTGGGAACTAGAAGGTGTGGGGCATGTGGGAAACCACATTAAAATGTGAACACTAAGTGATGTACTTTGAATTCTAGTAATAAGAAACCTGATTCAGAAGCAAGTGCTTTGAAGAAAAAGGTCAACAAAGGAAAAACAGAAGGTTCTGAAAATTCAGACTTGGACAAAACTCCCCCACCATCTCCTGCCCCTGAAGAGGATGAAGACGCAGGTGTTCAGGTAATGCCATTATTCACTCCTGAGCTTTGGCTGAGGAGAAGGGTAACTTTAGCCAAGTGCAAAGCACACTAGGCCTCCCCTGGTTTTGTTGTGGAGGTGTGTGTGTGTGTGTGTGTGTGTGTGTGTTGTCCCTATTGTTGACTAGAACATTATATCCATGGTGATGAGAGAACTGGGACCACACCAGGGCTATTGGGCTTTGGAATTAATAAAGCAAAGAGTCTCCCTTTATTTCTGTGTATGCTTATTTTGATGTTTATATATGCTATTGGCGACATAATTTTTTTTCTCTTTGAGACAGCGTCTCCCTGTAGCCCCAGGTGGCCTAGAACTTGCTATGTAGACCAGGATGTCCTTAAACTCACAGAGATCTGCCTGCCTCTGCCTCCTATGTAGACCAGGCTGGCCTTGAACTCACAGAGAATTGCCTGCCACTGGCTCCTGAGTGCTGGGATTAAAGGCATGCGCCACCATGCCCAGCTGCTATTGCTAACATATTTTTTAACAGCCTGTTTTTATATTGATTTATTTAAAGTATCCTTCACATTTTTTAATTTTCTGAAGTTTGGTTGTCAATTTTTGCTTATTTATTGTGTGTGTGCATGCACATGTATGTGTACATATTTGTGTGTGTGCATACATGTGCACTGCACTTATACTTGAAGGCCAGAGGTCAACTTGGGTGTCATTCCTCAGAAGACATTCACTTTGTGGTTTTGAGACAAGATCTTCCACTGGCCTGGAGTGTGCTGGGCTGACTGACCAGTGAATCCCAGGGATCCTCCTGTCCCCATCTCCCCAGAGCTGGGATTGTAAGCATGTACCACCAGTGCTTAGCTTTTTACATGATTTGTCGGGGGGTCAGAGTCAGGTCTTCATGTTTGTATGGCAAGTACTTCACTGACTGAGCTATCTCTCTTATTCCCATTATAAAAATTTGGAGTAAAAACCAAGACATAATTTGTGGCTTAAGATATTGACATTGGATGATCAGAGAGGAGATATATTCGTGGTAAGGTTTCTGTGAACAAGTCAGCGATTTTCCAAATGGTGACTGCAGAATTATCCAGTATAAGATTCTCTTGACGTCTGGGGAATTTTATAGGAATATGTTGAAAACAAGCCTGCAAGCAGGTAAACACTAGGAATTTAGGTTCTTGTATAGGGAGCTTGCTGCCTTCACTGTTTGAACCGAGAGGGCTCACAAGTACATGTGACAGTTAAAAATTATTTCCTTGTTAGGTTCCTTGGAAGCATGCCAGTCTTGTCCACTGGGATGGCTGGGAATGTGACTTGTGTGAGTGACATCTGAGTTACCAGGGAGCACTTACAGGGGAGTCCTGCTGGAATAGGCAGCAGCCCCTAGGAGCTGGCTGTGCTTCCTCTCAGGGCGTCCTTCCTCAGGCCTAAGTGAGATATACTTCTGTCTTAAAGAAATTTCAGAAAGCTTTGTTTTTGTGTTTTTATCTTGAGTAGAACTTATATCTGTAACTTCACAGAATGTTCTAAATGAAGGAGCTGAGAGGGTAGAAATGGAAGAGGAATGTAAATGAAGTGTTTAGGTTGTGTTTGGGCTGGTTGTCCAGCTAACCTGGTGATACCTTTATGGTGCAGGTTAATTATGTAATTTTCTGCCCTCATGATATCAGTTGAAAGATACTGGGAAGGTAAGTAGCTATCTTTTTTAAGTTTGCTAAGGGGTTTGAAACCAAAGTGTTCTAGTACATTTTATTTTATCCTTGAGAATGCTTTCTCTTGTTTTGTGTTTACTTAAAGTAGGATCTTTATGACAATAATATTTGGACAGTATTAAGAATTACTCTCACAAGTCAAGGAAATTCTGTCATTGTTTCAAAATAGTGATCGTTTTTAAAAGCCTCTTTTTATTAATTCCAGCTTGACTCAAGTGGACTTTTTGAGCCCATTTGAAGTCCCAATTTGGGGGCTTCCTTTCTCCTCCTTTTCTCTCTTTCCTCCTCCCCCTCCTCTTTTTTCTTTTCCTTTCTACCTTTCAGGTGCAGAAAAATGCTAAGCAGTTCATACCGACCTCAGTGTTGGCTTTCCAACTAGCTGAGCAGAACTGTTCTGAGCCCAAAAGCAGGTACAGGCAGCCACACAGGAGACCTGACTGAAGACTATTTCCCTGGTGTCAGACACAGGAAGTGATGCTGCGTGTTTGTTTATCATGTTTCTTCCTGTAATGCGTTGTGAAGGGCTTAGAGTGAAAACTTTTGAATTTTGTAATTGGTTGTCAAAAGTAAAGGACAGGCAATTTAACTAACTCAGAATTGTTCACAAGGCTGTGGAAACGCATTCAAGTCTTCACCTAATCTAACTCAAAGTATCTTGAAAAGCAGCACAAGTTTTAAAAGGTGATTGGTTATTTTAGTGCCACTGAAAGAGTGTTGAGTTACGGTTCAAATGCAGTTCTTGTCTTTCAGTTAGGTTCATAGCAATATTTTGGATAATAATTTAACAGACCAAAATTGAAATATAATTTTATATTAGGAATTTGCAAAAGGGGCCTCGGTATTCAAAATAAATGACTTTAGGAATAATAATAATTATTTACAAAGTAGGGCGATGGCACCATTTTGCAATTGTGGAAAATTTAAGTGGGTTTTTTTTTTCTATCTTTTTTTCTTTTTCTTTTTTCCTATGTAGTCTTGGCTGACTTTAATCCTAGCTCATTATGTAGACTAGGCTGGCCTGGCATTCACAGAGATCCACCTCTCTCAGCCTCCTGAGCATTGGGATTAAAGGTGTGAGCTACCAGGCCCAGCTAGAAATTTAGTTTTAATTGTAGTTTGGCCTTTCTTTTCTTTTTCTCTTTTTTAATATCTTATTTATTATTTTTATTTTTTATGTGTATGTGTGTAATGCCTGCATGTAGGTAAGTGCACCCGTGTCATGCAATGTCCACCGAGGACAGAAGATCCCCTGGAACTGTTGGAGCCCCTGGAACCTTGCAGGGGCAAGGTTAGCTGCCATGTGGGTGCTGGGATTTGAACCCAGGTGTTCTGCAAGAACAATCAGTGTTCTTAACCATGAACCATCTTTCCAGCCCTCTTTTAAAAAAAAAAAAAAACACTTATGAAATGACCCTAGTATTTACTACTGATACCCCATCACCTGAACAGATTTATGTCATAAGATTGATAAGCGGAAGGTTCACATATAATAGTTAGCAAAGGGTTATGGTTTATTCGGGCTTAAGCTCGGGCTCTCAGACCTCACCAACTCAACGGATCCGTGCTGAGAGCCCAGAGTAAGGGAGAGTGGAGACTTTTATAGGTTTTAGACAAAGAGAGCATGGGGATACTGAAGATACATTTTGGTTGGTTCAAGGAGCCTGCGTGCGCCGACATAATTTTAAACCGATTGGATGTATAAGATGCAGCCCTGTAAGTTTCTTATTGGTAGGTGCTATTCTCAGGGCTGTGGAATGTGCTGTTACCTGTGGGGCCAGGAGTCTCTTTTTTTACCTTATAGGGCAGTTTTTATGCTCAGGCTTGCTTAATCTATAGTTTCCTGGAAGAGGGGTAGGGAATAGCAGGGTGGGTCAGGGCATGCCAGAGTATGTCTAGGCATGTCTAAAGCAGCAGTCAAGCATTTTACAGAAGCTAAAAGAGCAATTAGTGGGGGTCTGGAGGGATTGGGGGATAGCAGGTGAATGAAGAGGGTCTCAGGGTACTACAGTTATATTCACTAGTGCATTAATTTCTATTTTTTTAATTGTTTCTTCTGTGACAATTTCATACATGTATATAATGCATTCTAACTTGAAAATAAGGGCAGGATTTAATGTAAAGTGAATTATCTTGGGCCCTGTCCACCTATCTTGTGACTTACCCTAGAATTCGATGACTCTATGGCCTCAAGAGGGAAACCTGGTAAAAAGTCACAGATCACTAGTTTTATATCCCTCCTTAAAGTAATGCCATAAACATGCAAATATAAGTTAATCCATTTTGATCGAGTTTGATCAGATGAAATACAGATACTGTGCTAAATTTTTACAAAATCTAAACATTGTTCATCATAGTAGCCTTTTTTGTGTCTTAAGAAACTTGGAAATTAAGGGCCGGTAAAGCGGCCCAAAGGCAGGACTGAGTAGATTAGCTTTGGAAGGAGAAGGGAAGCTGTGCAAGGTAGCTGGGCACTTTTCTTAGGAAAACTAGAGCTAATTGTTGATAACTTTAATCTCATTAATTACATTTCACCATGCTTTGATGGAATTCTTGTATGAGGTCATCACAGCATTTGTATGGAGTAGTGCCGTCGTTAACCCCAGATCAGGAAGCTGAGGTCCACAGAGTAATTCTTTCTAGGCCACATAGGTGTTTCCCAGTTCAGTCAAGGGTGTCTTGAGGTCAGACTGCCTCCTATGATGTAGGGAAGCAACCAGACGGCACCCCCAACCCCAGAGTTTCTGCCACCTGTCTTGAAGTGGGAGGATCCTTAGAGGAGCCTGTGGCCTTGTCGCCATTCCCTCTGGGTGAGGCCATTAAAGGGTTGTTAACATAACCACACCCCAGTGGACCTGTGCCAGAAGCTCCCCTGTTCTCAGCTGCTATGACTGTGGATTAGGAGCACAAAGTTTTGGTCCATGTGATGTTCACAATAGCCTGGGTTTGTGTGGTGAACAGTCACAGAACCTTTCTTGAGGGCAGGGAGAACCCTGAAGATGGCGGTGCTGGCCGTGCTTTCAGTGGGCATGATGCATATTTTGTGTTTTTCTATCTTAATGTCCTGGCTATGAAATTCATTAGTTCTTTCAAAAGTGTTAGTTCATAATTCTTAGAAAGAAGTTTGTATAGAGTCAAGTCTTTATTTCTTGATTATGAATCTTGATTTTTAAACCAGATGAGGTTTGAAGAGATGACTTCAAAAGTTGCCAGGATTTTTCTTTTAGGGCCCAAATTGCAACTCACTGTCCGATTCCTTTTATCTCTTTCTTCAGAATTAATACCTGGTAACAGTCTGTGTATCTTTTCAGATTTATTTCTGTTAATGAAAGCAACACATCCATTTTTAGCTAGTATTCATTGAGGCAACGTGGGGTAAACATGGCCTGTGCTCTTTGTCTTCAGAGGGTTACTGATCATCTACACGTCCAAATAAATAAAAGTTTTATATTTGTCTCAAGCAGAGTCAGAAGCTACTTACTGCTGTGTCATTTGCCTTTATTTGTCAATTTACTTTGGACATATTTCCAAATATATTATGTGGCTTACTGGAATAGAAGTGCTAGGTCAGAGGGCTAGCATGTGTTAATACTGATGGGCATGACCATCCTGTGCTAGCTTCTTTGACCCCCAAGAGTGTAAGAGTGTACATTTTGCCAATAATCATACAGATGCTAGCTATTACAAATCTTTTAAATTTTAACTACCACGATAATAAAAAGTTGGATTAAAAATTAGAACTACTTATTATAGCCACTCATGAATTCTACCATTCAACTCTCATCTAAAAACAGAGTAAATCCTCCCTCCCTCCCTCTCCCTCTTCTCCCTCCTCCCTCTCTCTCTCTCTCCCCCCCCCCCCCCTTCTGGATCAAATCCATGGTCTTGCCCATGTTAAACAAGTGTGCTATCTCTGAACTGCATCCCCAGCCCTGAACTGTTTCTTTTAGGTGCACTTTTAAAATGCACAAGATACTTAGGAAATAAATAGTACAACAATATTTGCATAGAACTTTACAATCTATAGATTATCTTCTAATTCATTCACCTTATGGACTTTCCATACAAAAATAAAGAGATGAGTATAATGGGCTCCTTTAGACCTGCTCCCCACCTCCTTTATTACCACTGCTCTTGATGGGTACTTGCTGAGAGAGGAACAGGATTTGCTGTTACTTGTATTTTCCTGGTGAGGGGAATGTCATTGGGAGTTGCAAAGTGATTGTTCTCCCAGGTAGCCCCAGGACTGCAGATCTCCTCCAGTTTTTGTTGCATTAGTTACCACAAAGAGCTTTTCACTTGACTTTCAGGATTAAAGTATCAGTTTTTCTTTAATATTAAAAAAATACTGTTTGTCTTACATTCCATGCCATGTTAAAGAGCATCAAAGATTTCTTTTTAAAACACACTTTGTTGGGGTTCTCTTACAGAAGAGACGGTCCAGCAGGCAGGTGAAGAGAAAGCGATACACTGAAGACTTGGAATTCAAGATTTCTGATGAGGAGGCAGATGATGCAGATGCTGCTGGGAGAGACTCCCCATCCAACACCTCGCAGTCAGAGCAGCAGGTCAGCAGCCCGGCTTATGCAGTTCGAATGTGCCCTTTGAGAGGTGGACTGGAAATTTTGTACCTGGAATCCAAGGAGTTCAGCAACAGCATTAGATGTGCTATGAAAAATTAGTTGTTTACAAGTATCTTTTAAAAAGCTCTGTTCTCTAAAATTTATTTTTATACAAGTCTATGATATGGTATTTGACACAGTTTTGGAGAATTAATGGCCTGTGCTGAGGAAGAATCGGAGCTAGAATATGAGGTGGCTGAGTTTACCTCTGAGAATTCAGTGCTGTAGCTTCTGGTACTGTAATAAACCACTCAAGCTCAGCTCCTGCTGTTTGGCACTGTAAGAACCCCTTTATAAAATTACTGCCTTGTAGTTCTCAGCAGGTCACACTTTATACTCTGTGCAATGTAAATGATGGATAAAATAGTTTGTATATGAAATATGGGTTGTAATGTGGAACTGATTATTGTAAAGGTTTGTTTATTTATTTGCTATTGTACTTTAGTTAACAAACTGGTATATTAAAAGGCAGTTGCTTAGTTGGTAATTTGTTCTGTGGTAAATTGTATAATATTTTGCATGATCTCCATAGATAAAAGCTGCGTACAGCAACAGAGTGATGGGTATATTTACTCCATGGGCAGAGATGCAGAAAAGTTAGAGTTTTGCCTGCTGTTAAGACCAGATTATTTTTCTCTTGGCAGCTAGAGTTTCTGAATGCTCGGTGGCTTGAGGGACCCATGCTAGTCTCCGTCATTAACCACACAGTCATGAAGTCATAAGCCTCTTCTTTTCGCCTTTCTGTAGAGTGACGTTTCCCTTGTTTTCAGTCATTTTTCCCACTAGCGACTTTGTGCTGAGTGATTTAAAGGATACAGAGGCATGGGCAGAGGGGAATGACTTCCTGCTTGTGTTTGTAGCATAGGTCAGATGTTTCACGTTTGGATTTATTGATCCCACTTTTCTTTTTAGGAATCTGTTGATGCAGAAGGCCCAGTGGTAGAGAAGATCATGAGCAGTCGTGCAGTGAAAAAGCAGGTGAGTGCCTTGTGCAAAGATGGAAATCTATGGGGGTGTGACCCTTTAAGAACTGTTTGCTGTGCATGTTATTTAAGATTCTACTGCTGAGCCAGGCATAATAGAACATGCTTGTAATCCCAACCCTTGGGGGTTGGAAGCAGGAGGACCAGGAGTTCAATGCCAGCCTTGGCTACATAGTGAGTTCAAGGCCAGCCTGGACTACTGACTATTTCTCAAAACAAACAAACAAACACACACCCAATGATCACATTATTGTAAAATAAACTTCTGGTGGTATTTCTTGTCCTATCTCACTTACTAGCCTCATATAAATTGGAGGACAGGTATTTAACTTGGAATGAAATCAAGGTCTATTAACCAATGAGATGAAAATATGTCAACCTTTATTAACACCATTCAAAGAAAGCAAAAAGCTCAAAAGACTCCAAAGACAAAGACTTTCAGAAACAGGCATGTCTTTTTCATGAAAAATGTCCATAAAAATCATGAAGAAGCCTTTGCTTCTCAGCTTCCTTTGGAAGGACCCCCCACAAGCAGGTTCAGTTTGTCCTTCTGCTTGTAGATGTTTACTCACACCTTTTGTAACTTTTTTCATCTGTAATTAATGCAGTCAGATGCCTTTACTACCAGTGCAAAGTTGATGTTGTTGAGCAAAAGCACCTGTCACTGGGCAGCAAGTAAACCTGCGGTTGGGGGGACACTAGAATGGAGAGTTCTAGCTCTACTGTATTTTCTTCAGCCATTTGAAATTCTGTATTCCATCTCAGTTATCTTTTGCCCAGTTTGGGAAAATGCTGTATTTGTTTTGAATCATCATTGTCTGTAGAAACTAGTCACTGGATATGAATGGATCAGTCAAGTCCACATCGTTCTTTTGTTTTCCTTCAAGGTGGGTAGAAGTACAGCTTCATTTTTGATACATAGAGTAAATGTGGTTTCTTCTTAGTAAAATGTAGTCAAAGTCCCTCTCTCCAGTGATATAGATGAGGGATGGCAGAGTTGTGGGTCATGAGGTGGGATCCCAGCCCTATCCCATAGCAGACCTGGAAAATGTACACACACACACACACACAAACACACACACACACACACACACACACACACACACACACACACACAATGACAGGAAACAGGAGATGTGGGTTACTCCAATACTTTTATAAGGGGATCCTTAAGTAGGGCCTGGAAAGATGGCTGAACAGTTCAGAACACTGCTGCTCTAGTAGAAGACCAAGTTCAGTTCTCTCACCCACCTATTTGGGGAAGCTCTCGACTGTGTATAACTTCAGCTCCAGGGGCTCTGATGCTCTCTTCTGGCCTCTGAAGGCACCTGCACCCATGTGCATAGACGCACACACATTATTACCCTCCCCTCCTCCATTTCTCACATACACATCTACATGTGTAAAAATAAATCATTAAAATGAAAAGAAGTCATTAAGTGCCATTAAACCATCAGTGAATTCTCTACCTTCTAGAACAGTTTACTTTTCCACTGTGTGATTGAAGGTATGGACTTTCATCAGCTTACAGAATTGAGTGCGAGGGTGGGGTGTGTAGGTGGCTATTGGTGACTTTATGAATTTGAAACTTCCTACCCTGATGAATTAAATGACAAACCCTAAGCCAGATTTCCCACCTATTGAAACAGAAACGAGCACCACTTAACTCATTAGAAAGGTTGCATTTTTGTTCAGCTAATGACTCTAGAACTGTTTATTTCTGAATTGTAGAAATGTAGTAAAATTTAAATACTTGACATGCTCCTCACTGAATTGCAGCAACTTGTTTGGGTAAATTGCATGTCCTTTGGATGGGGTATACTAATTTCTGTTCAATTGACAGTACTTCAGCAGGCATACTCAGCAGGTTTGGAGGCTGCAAATTAAAATTAGCGCAATTATTCTTAGCTGGTTAGACCATACGTTGTGCAGGATATCACTTCTCTTTCTGTTTTGCCCACATCAAGGCCTTTGTTGTTGCTTCCTTTTACTCGTACTCTTTAAAGGCAGGTGTCCATAGATCAGGAACAGATATTGTTATCATCTACCATGACCTTGTTGAGCTTACCACAAGACATTAGAAGTCACTGTAACTGAACATGAGGATGGAGCATTATTGGCTTGGTGAATCTGAGAATGAAGAAAATAAGTGGAAAAAGTTCTCTAGAAAGCAGGCATAATTTAAAGGAAGGAAGAGAAGTAGAGTTCATGGAATTGTTTATCTATTACTGGCATTTCTTTAAGGGTCATAAAAATTCACTAGAAGATACTAAACTTTAACAAGCACTAGCTTTTTAAACTGCTAATGTTCTCATCATGGTTGCTTTAGTTTCAACTTTAAAAAAACACTAGAGGAAAGTGTTGCACATAGAAACAAAAGGGAATTTGAGATTTTTATGTGGATTCTAGCTATGCCTGCTGGTCTGTTTCCTATTACCATGAATAATTTAAGAACTGTCTGTGAGAAGGTGTCTCTAACTCCCTCTCCCTGATAGCATTGTGGAGAGTGGCTCTGAGCTCCGAGAGCCTGTCCTGTAGGGTGCAGACATAATGGGAACTCGGTGGGTTTCCAAGTCAATCACCCTCATGCCTGTAGCCTCAGAAGGCTGGAGAATTTTAAGGGGGGGAGTTCTGCAAACTCGGAAAGCTTCCCTAGCAGAGCCTCCTCAGCTCAGTGTCCTCTGTTAATTGGTACACCTTGGCATTTGTGTATTGCCCCAAACCCAGGTTAATGTATGTAAGACCCAGGGGTGAGGCCGCAGTATTTGTGTATGAATTTGGAGGTATGTTTATCTGAATGGATATTTAGATTGCATCCAAGTTAGCTTTCTGTTTTCCACATTTAGTCATAGTCCTTTCTTCTATGGGCAATTCATCTTTGGAAAACAATTCAAATATTTTCAGATCAGAAGATCAGAACTCTCTTAAGAGATGAATTCTAACTATATTCCCTAAAATTCTTTTACTTTTCCTCAGTTGTTTGCATATGTTTTCACCTTAAGATCTTACCTCAAATTTCAAGATATTTGTCTTAGTTTTCCTTAACCGAACCAGTCGAGTAGGATATAAATGAGGGGAACTGTTTTAATCACATTCACTAGCATGCCTATATTTTCTCACTAAGTCAACTGTGGCTTGATATCTCTACTGGAGCATACAATAGGTTGGATCAGAAGTTGAAAGGGATTCATACCTGCACTTTATTTTTGTTGAGGGACTTTTTCGTGTGTGTGTGTGTGTGTGTGTGTGTGTGTGTGTGTGTACATGCGTGCACATTTTTAATGGCGTTTTCCCTTTTTTTCCGTGTAGTATAGTTCTGAGTTAGGGTAACTGCCTAATTTAGAAAGACCATTCTTTTGGAGTGCGAGATCATCATTTGCTAACTGGTTATTTCATATGAAGGTAGAGAAGTCAGCTTAAGGTATTTGGAGCATTGTTTCATGTAAAGTATAAAGATTTCCATACACTATTTCTGAAGTAATGAAAAGACATATATATTTCTCCAAAATGTTCTCCTGAGCACTTGAAAATATTTGGAACACTCTCAGGTTAAATTGTAGCTGTCCAGGAAATGAATTAGGGTTGCATATATGTCCACAAGTGGGACTAGTGCTCTGACTCCATTATTCATTGGGTGTGCGCATTATAGAACGGCTTCTGAGCACTGACACTATGGGGTTTTGAAGGCTGGATAAAGTGGACGTCATAGATCCACATATGTTTGTTCATTATTTTACTGTTAGTAAACCCAAAGAGGTCAACATGTTTAAATTTATATGAAAACCAAACATAAGCAACAGCTATAGTTACAAGGTAGTTCTAGGGCAAGAATGTGGTCATCCTATGTGTGCTGTCACTAAACAAAACATGGTGTTGTTTACTTGGGGACACCGAGACGAGGCATCAGGCTTTGGGACAGTTCTCTGCCAGTTCTGGGCACTGCTAACCGGATTCTCAGAGCCCATTTGTTTCTCCTAGTTCTAGACAGTTCTAGATCCCCTTGTTAGGCATCTCCACAGCAGGTTCCCTGGGAAATAGTTTATCATGGCAAGAAAGTGGGTATTGATGAGAGTTGTGCACAGGTAGCTTTTTAGGAGCGGAACTGTAAGAACTCGTCTGCTACTGAAGATTTGGGCCTGGGTGCTTTGGTGCCATTTAGACTTATGGGATAGTGAGTCCATTTAGAACAAGATAGAAAGGACAGTGTAGACAAAAAGATTAGAAAGAAGAAAATTGGGAAATAAAAAGATGTATAATTTTGAATATTTCTTTCAGAATAGGAAGAAATGTAATTTATAACAAGAGGTTTGTAAAAGCACAGGTATTTCAGTTCCACTTAAGGCTGAATTTTAGGGGATACCATAAGAAACCTTGCTTTCCCCCCTTTTTTTTGGTTGTTGACTATTTTTTAAAATGTTTTATTCATTATTTTTATTTGTGTGTTTGAGTGTATTGCCTGCATGTAGGTAAGTGCACCCATGTCGTGCAGTGCCTGTGGAGGACAGAAGAGGAGGCCATCAGATCCCCTGGAACTGGAGTTATAGACAGTTGACAGCTGCCATGTGGGTGCTGGGATTCAAACCTGGGTCTTCTGCAAGAACAACAGTGTTCTTAATGGCTGAGCCATCTCTTCAGCCCAGTTGTCTACTCTTTTATCATAACCATTCTACTAGAATCAGTAATTCTGTATAAATATATCTTGAAATGGAGTGGAATGAACAAATATTAAGATTAGAAATGGTGGATTGGTTCCCATTTGGAGTGTCCCCTGAGTTGATAAGAACTTAGAAAGTATCCCAGAGTTTATGCAGCTGACTCTTGTAGATGCCAAACAATCATTTCAGGTAACTAAAAGCTATAATGCCACTGCTGTCCTGAATATTTGGTTTAAAAAGCTGCTTTATAGTTTGGGATCTCTCATGATTCACTAGGGCACAACCAGATGTTAGTAGGTGTTGACCAGACCACTCCAGAATATCTCGTCTTCTCCTTGGTGAAAAGCGTTTTAAAATTAGATTTAACTGAAACTGGGAGAAGTTTTAAAGGGAAGTCTAAATTCATAGACTTTAGCATGAGTCTGAAGATTATAAACTGAGGGCACCAAGTACCTTTGAAACATCTGTGCTGCTGTGCTAGCCCACTAGAAGCCTGGTCTTCTGTTTGCCCTCATGCTTCTGCCTGCCTTAGTTTCCTTTGAAGATCTGTGAGGCATGTAGCATACACGCCTGACCCTCAAGGCCGACTTGGGGGCTCTTGTTTGAGCATAAAAACAGTTCCTGAAACATCTTGTAAAGGTGTTTATATTTTATATCCCTGATTTATCTGATCAAACATATGGAAGAAAATGACATATTATGAATTGTTTAACAGCCTAAAGCTGAAAACAAAAAAGCGAGATGTCTAAAATATAAATGTACATGTCTTCTCTATGTGCTGCTACAGATAGGATCAAAGGAATGTCATAGATGATCTTACTTCCAAAAATTCTGGATTTGGCTGATGTGTATCACAATTTTATCCTACCTAAATGTAGTATCTGAAGTGTTAATTTTATTTGGCTGCTACGTAAGTGAGACATCTTGTCTGAGAGATTTTAATTGTACCATTGAGTAAAACGCAAACTGTGAACAGTGATGCACTGAATTACAGTGTAAGGACAAGGTTTACTTTTATATGGTTTCTTGTTTAGAGTTATTAACTATATGGAGAAATAAATGTCTTTTAAATATTTTAAAACATTACAAAACCCACAATGTAAAGTTGCCATGAGGCAGCCAGAAATAATACATATGGCATTCAGGAGAGCAGTTGCTAATTGGCTGCTGCCTGAGAAAATGCTACACTTGGCGTCTACTTAACACTGTGGGTTTGGCAGAAAGCCAGATTTGGGGTCAGGTTGTTGTGAATGAAGCTGCATGTGGTTAGGGAGGAGTTAAAATGATTCATGTCTTAGAAGCTCAGGCACGTCGAGTGCAGCAGCATGCTTGTGCCGAGTGCATCCGTCTTCATCGCAGGCCTCCTGCGGCTCCCAGTGTGCTAGGTCTTTCCAGGAAGGCCAGAGCTGCTCCTCTTGGGCATTGTGTGCTCAGGTGGGTGTGTTGCTGCTTTTGAAATAACTCCAGTACACCGTTTTAAGTATGTGCCTCGATTTTCCTCTTGTTGCAGAAGGAATCTGGAGAAGAGGTAGAAGTTGAGGAATTTTATGTGAAATACAAAAACTTGTAAGTAAACTGTGACTTTTTTCTTAATGGGGGGCGGTTACTTTAATAGTACTAAACGTAGTACTAAAACTGTGAATTTGGGAACTTGGATATGGTTTCCTTAGTACCTTGGAGCCATTTCCTACTAACTTTTATATTTTTGGTATTCCGTAGGTTTTTTTCTTAGAAAATGTATAATGTATAAAAGTTGACTAATGTTCCAGTATAATCAAAAGGTGCTTTGTAGATGGAATAAAAACTTCTGTAATGATAGAGAAATAAAGTAAAAATTGCCTACTTTCTAAGAAGGGATTTTGTTGTCCAGGGCTCTTCCCAGGTTGCTCAGAGGCCTGGGAGGTGCAGGGAGATCCGGGCTTTAATGCATGAGCGGTCTTTTTATGTGGCCTAATTATTTTCTAATATTTGCTTCCTTGATTTTAAAAATTTGTTTTAAAATCTACATGGAGAAATAGAGCTGCCCTGAGCTGTGTTGTGAGTACAACACCTGGTGCACAACACATCTTGGCCAGCCAGTGTGGGTTTCAGGACTGGCCATCATCCTGCTGAAGAAGTCTAAGGCTCTTCCTAACCAGAAAAACAGCCAAGGACAAAGACCCCGGTGATAATATGAGCACTTTCTTTACTTCTCCCTTTTAAGACGTGAATAAATTCCAGGGTTTTTTTGTTTGTTTGTTTTGTTTTTGTCTTTTTGACACAGGGTCTCCCTGTAGCCCCAGCTGTCCTGGAACTCACTATGTAAACCAGGCTGGCTTCAAACTCACAAAGATCCGCCTGCCTCTGCCTCCCAAGTGCTGGGACCTTAAAGGCGTGTGCTACCACGCCCGGCTGACTCCAGGGTTTTTAAAGAGAGGATTTTCTAAGTTGCTGTGAAAACAGCCCAAGAAACTAACCTGGCCTAGAAAAATGGGAGCAGGAGGTGCTGGATTCTCCTGGTTTGTCCCTTGTTAGCTGGCACTGTGTTAATTATGGACACCCTTCGGAAGAGGTTGTAAGCAAAACTTTACCAAGTAAAAAGATAAAGGTATTTTTTCAGTTTTATGATGAGAGTTAGTAAAGGTGGAGTCTGGCAACATAAAATGCTCAGTAAATATCAGCTGTCATCATCAGTGTGTCCTCAGCACAGTGAGTTTACCATTATGCAAATTATTCATCTGACATGATTTCCTGTGGGGGACTCCTTAAGGAGAGAGGGCAATAGCTGAGGAGCAGATAACCTAAATAACTGGATGGGAGCATTCCTTGTAGATGGACCAAATCAAGTGGAGAACTGAGGCTAAGTGGTTTTATATATAACTGCACCCCCAGACAGGCACTGAGTTAGAGTCCCAGTGGCCCATTTGCTTCCATTCAATACCCCTGTGGATTGCTCCAAGAGTGGGTGTGACCCTGACCAGACTCTGCTGCCAGAAGACTGGTTCTCCTTGTCAGGCACTTGACACAGAGTCTTAAATGCTAGTTTTCTTGTAGTAGGTCTAAAGGAAATTAAAATTAAGTAAAATTTCTGTAAGGCAGCTTTTATTAACTTGTTTGACATAATTTCAGATTTGTAGAAAAATTGTAAA